TTAACGCTATCTCTTTTTCTTTCCTATCAGTTTTTTTTCTTCTTCTTCTTGCTTATCATCTATTTTCCCCTTTTCTTTTTCTTTCTCTTCTCCCTTTCCTTCTTTTCTTCTTCATCTTCTCTTCTTTTCTACTACGTCCTCTCTTCTGTATTATTTTTTTCGTTTCCCCTTTTTGACATTCAGCAAAATGGTAAGCATAGCCTCGTTCTACTACAGCTTTACCGTTGCAAAACCATCAAATCAGAAATAATACAATTGTAATTGAAATATCCCAAAATATGGGTCCAATAATATATCTTTCTACTCAACAAAAGTACTGTATTTTTGCTTTGTTGTTGAGTTGCATGACAACGGGGAAATTTGGAAAAGGGACAATGATACGTATATCAAACATTATGGATAATAGATTTTTTGGGGGGTATGGGGGGCTGGTTTTGGTATGAAAACTTTCCATTCGCTATAGGGTAATGGAACTCATAACAGAAATAAAATGCTTTATTAGTATTGCTGAAATAGAATTTGGTGATTAGAAGGCAGAATAAAAATGTAGGAAAGGAGGAGATAAAAATGTAGGAGAGAGAGGGAGAGAAAAAAAAAAAAAAAGAGACAGGTAAAGGTCACGCGGATGGGAAAAAATGAGAAAAAGAGAAAAAAAAAGGCAGATAAAGAAATACAAAGATAGAAGAATAAACGAAGAAATAAAGGATGATATGAAGAAGGGGAGGAAAAACACGAAGATAGACAAAAGAAACAAAACAAGAACAAGAAAAAAATTTGAAACAAGCAACCCGCCAACAAAAGCACTCGATCGTGTCCTTAATCCTCCTCTTTGAGATCCTGAAGACACGTGGCGAATCTGACTAAGACCCGGTCTGTGTTTATATTTCTCAGAGCACACGCCCCCAGGTCCTCCAGCCGGGCCACTGCGGCGTAAACACAGAGATGAATCCCCATGCTTTACTCGAGGGCATTGCAGCTCCATTTGCATATAGCGGATCCTGCACGGGAGATATGGTGATGCTTATCGCAGGTGAGATGCTTCGGGACATTTTGAAGACTTGGATTACACGTCGGAGGCAAGAGATAGTGAGCGTAAATTAGGCATGAATGGAGGACGAGAGCAAACACGTCATGAATGAGAGAGGCAACCGGGGGGGGGGGGGGGATTATGATTCCGGTGGAGAGGGAGATGGGAGAAGGGAAGAAGAGGAGAAGGGAGGAGGAGGAGAAGGGATAAGAACTAGCCAAAATAAGTAAGGAAGAAGAAAGAAGGGTGAAGAAGAAAAAAAGAACAGAGCGAGATGTAACAGATGAAAAATCATTCTTTCGTCCATGATAATATAAAAAAGGAAACCGGAGGAGGAGGAGGAAGAGAGGGGAAGAATTTTAGAAAGAAGGAAAGAACCAAAACTTCTTTTCCCACGGTAGACAGAGGCAGGAAAACAACAAGAAAACGGGAAGAAGGAGGAGAAAGGCGACCCCCCCCAAAAAAAAAAAAAAAAAAAAAAAAAAACACCCGACTTCTGTTACACAAACTCTAATATAAATGTAGATGCGAGCTTCAGATGAGGTTTGTAAGGAGCGGAGACTGGGATCATTGTCAACAGTCTAATGCATATATAACTAAAGCTCAACACCCAACTCGGAAGAAGTTCTCTCCACCCCCTCCACCTCCTCCACCTACTCTTTCTCCTTTACACCTTCTTCCCTTTTCCCTCAATCTCTCCATTCTCCCCACTTCCATATCTCTCTTTCCACTCCCATTCCTCCTTCTGGCTTCTCTTTAACTCCTCCATTTTCCCTATTCCCCTACCACTCATCCTCTAGTTTGTTGGAGATTTTTTTTTTCTCCCTCCTCCAACACTTCCTCTTTGGTTTTTCGTGTCTTTTTTTTTCTTTCTTTTTTTTTTTTTTTTTTTTTTTTGCTAACTTCTCCCTTTTTCACCATCTCCCCTTTCTCTTCATTCCTCCTTACCTTCTTTATCCACTCCATTTCTTTTCATCTCAGTTTTTTCCTCCTTTCGTGTCCTCCAAGCTCCCCCCTACCACCACCCCCCCTACCCACACTCTTGTACGACGTCTTGAGTTTTCTTCTTGAAGTCCGTAAGAGATGTACCACTTTTTCTTGTCATCACACAGGTGGTGTTTTGAAAGGTGATGAATATTTGCATTATTTCTCTCTCTCTCTCTCTCTCTCTCTCTCTCTCTCTCTCTCTCTCTCTCTCTCTCTCTCTCTCTCTCTCTCTCTCTCTCTCTCTCTCTCTCTCTCTCTCTCTCTCTCTCTCTCTCTCTCTCTCTCTCTCTCTCTCTCTCTCTCTCTCTCTCTCTCTCTCTCTCTCTCTCTCTCTCTCTCTCTCTCTCTCTCTCTCTCTCTCTCTCTCTCTCTCTCTCTCTCTCTCTCTCTCTCTCTCTTCTCTCTCTCTCTCTCTCTCCTCTTCTCTCTCTCTCTGTCTCCCACCCCTCTCAGTCTATCTAGTTATCTATTTATACTGGTTGGAGTTTTGATTAGAGTATGAAAACATATTCTATTTCAAACAAATCTAGTATTACTGCTGCCGCTTTTGATGGTAATATGGATAAGGGTGACTATGATTATGATGAGAGTGATAATGATAACATCAACAGTAATAACGGTTATGATGATGCTGATAACGACGATAATGATAATGGTAATGACACTGATAAAAATTATCACGATAAAAATGATAACAGTAATGGTAATACTTGTAATGATATTAAAGATGGTTATGATAAAGATAATGAAAACATGATAATTATAGTGATAACGGCAACAATGTTAATGATAGGGATAATGATGATATTGATAATGATGATGTTAAATATGTTAATCAATAATGACAACAATAACTATGATAAGAAGAAAGGTATCAATGAAAATTTAATAAGAATTATAATAATGACGATAACAACGATAATAAGGATAATAATAACAACAATGATAATAATGATAATAATACCAACAATGATAATAATGGTGAAAATAAAAAGAAATGCGATAATCTAAATTGTAACAGTATCGAAAATAACGAAAATAAGTAATATAATTATGATATTGATAATAATGATGATGATAATGATAACAATAATAATAGAATAACAATAATGATAATAATAATATCATTAATAATAATGATAGTAATATTGTTGATAGTAAGAACAACAAATGAAAATAATAGGAATAAAGATCATAGTAATAATAATAACAGATTTAACAATAAACAATGATACTGACAATAATAACAACAATAAGGATTATAACAACAATGATGATGATAATCATGATAGTGATAATAAAAATAATAATGATAACAATGATAAAGATAAAAATAATTACCAATATTATCATTATTATTAAAAAGAATATTGTAATAATGATAAAACTGATAACAATATTTATCATTGAAATAATTATAAATGATAAAGTTTATAAAAGTAACAATGAAAATAGTACCAATGCTAATGATGATAATGATTAATAATGATGATAATGATATTAATGAAAATAATAATGGTGATAACAAGAGTAATGATTTTACAATAACAATGATAATAATGATGATAATAACAATGATAATAGTTATAATAATAATAATAACAATGATAATATTAATAATAATATATAATAATAATAAAATAATAATAATAATTGTAATAATGATAATCATGATAATGATAATGGTGATGCTGATGATAGTGATGATAATGAAAATAATGATAATGATAATAATAGCAAAAATAATGATAACAATAAGGGTAATAATATTAATAACAATAATAATAATAATAATAATAATAATAATAATAATAATAATAATAATAATAATAATAATAATAATAATAACAATAATAATGATAGTAATAACAATTAAAATAATAATAATAATAATAAATAATAATTATAAAAGATAATATATTAATGTTGATAACAAGAATGATTGTACTTACTAAATAATGGTAGTGACAATAACGATAAAGATAATACTGATAGAAATAATGATATGAAATACTGATAATCAATTAATAATAGCTATGTAATGATAATGATAA